TATAAATAATACTTTTTGTGTCCTATAAATAACGCTTAGCTCTTATAGTGCCATCACTCAACCCCTGGAACCTTTTACTCCTCTCTGTTCCATGGCTAATCATGTTAATCCCTTGACGCTTGGTAGGGTGATTGGTGATGTTGTGGACCAATTTGCGCCCACCGTGAGCATGTCCGTCAGTTACGGACCCAAGCACATAAGCAATGGCTGCGAGATCAAGGGCCGTCGTTGGCTGGCCCGCCGTCGCGATTCGTGCAACATCATCCACAAGACACCAGCGGCAGAGTCGCGAACTGATCTTTATGCACTGGTCAGTTGGTATTTTGATTGATATTGTATATTGATTGTACTGATTTAAAATTGGTAATGAGATTATATTTTTTTTCCCGGTACGCACATGCATGAATGAATAAATTTGTTGAGTTAAATTAAGAAGTGTTGGGTTTGCGTATGTGACTCTGTGTAGGTTATGACTGATCCAGATGCACCAAGTCCTAGTGATCCGACTATGAGAGAGTGGGTCCATTGGTAAGGGGATAAATTTTAGTTTAAATTTTTTTTAATTTTTTTTATGTATTTTTTTATTTATTGCTGGTAGATTTTGCATGTGTAATTATATATGCTTGTTAATTTGATTTTGTAGGCTGGTGGTTAATATACCAGGAAGAGCAGATCCCTCACTAGGTAAGAATTAAATCTATGTTAAAAAAAATGCAGATATGCGTATAATATTTAAATTTAAATTTGGGAAACAAAAAAGTGAGTAAAATAAAAGAAAGTAAATAAAAGAAAGTAATAGACATGCTCCTTACTTCTTTTTATTTACTTCCTTTCTTGTAACTTTGGAATAAGCAAGCATGCATGCACACACGATATGCAGTAAAATGCTATACAAGTATATCTACCAACATTTTTTCACTATTCCTATGAAACGTTTGCTGTATTCATCCTCCATGATGTTTCTGTTTTAATTATTTTTTATTTTTATTTTTCAAAAAACGAATCTGAAGACTAGCTTCTCACTTACATTTATTATGTAATAATGGTCCGAGCACAAAGGATAACAAGTAATTTTCTCCTGTAAATTCTCCGAGAAAGCCTACCTCCAAGTTCTCATTCTTCACATCACATCCTGCCTGTTACTGCCACGTGTCAACCGCTCGTGAATCCACTCGTATAAGCTCGACACGTGTAAATGCCAATCATCTGAGTATCTCCACGTGTCATTCACTCACCTACTCTTATATGGAAAACTATGCTACAGAGGAATTCCCCAAAGAGAATCATACAAATAATACGGGAAGGAATATATTCTCAACAAAAATCGTTCAAATCAAGGGAAACACAACCGCATAACACGTCACAATTTCACATAGCGCAAAATATTGCATTGGTATACGAACATGTATGTGTAATGCACGTTTTTTGAAGCTGAGTACAAATCTTTTCAGAACACTTAAAAGACTCATTTACAAAATAGTTTGAATCGTGAAGGACCAGTTACAATCTCTCCATTAATTTGTCACTTTAAAATATGTGGAGTTCTTGATTGCTCATAAATTTTTGCTAGCAGTTCAGGACTGCAAATTTTTGGGTTTTGTATTGCAAAATAGTTTAAGTTATATGAATCATATTCTACTTACTATTACTGATTTGTGATTTTGTACACGTGTTTAATCATTTTCCTAGGACAAGAGGTGGTCCCCTACATGGGCCCACGCCCGCCGGTGGGCATCCACCGGTATGTCCTCGTCCTCTTCCGCCAGAACTCGGAGCTGCCGGCGGCGGCTACGGCCCCCCC